TTCTCTTCCCAGTGACGCGGGACGACAGATGGAGTGTAAACTGCCTTAGGGACAGCACTGGGCTTCAGAGCGAACTCCAGAGGAGGGCCATGCATGAGTGGGAGAGGCTGATGGCTGCATGTGTTAAAAGTAGATGAAGCGTAGTGGGCAAGCAGGCGCTCCCTGAGCTGAGGGACGTCGGCTTCCGACGTCCCTTCAGGAAATGGTGGTGGGTCAGGTGCGACCGTGCGAACAGGGCAGCCGCAGGGGGCCAGTTCGGTGTCACCAGGGTCAGTTTTCGAGGTCGTCACTGAATGGACGTCTGCAGTTGGCGTGTTTTCGAGACGAGGTGATGGAGGGTAGGGGAAGGATGGCGGGATGGATCCCAGGGTTATCAGTATGTCCTTGGAGAGGTACATCCCTGACAGATCTTTCACAATGTACAGCATCTCCGGGAGTTGTTGATGGCGGTCGTCTGAGGTCAGAGAGATCGTGACAGGGAGCACACCCCACACCTGCAGGCGGGACTTGTTGGCCGCGAACAGGCGTATGTCTGTCGGGAGAAGGTCACGCCGCTGGACGCCGAGGGTGGCGAGAATGTCGGGCCCACCGCAGGTGACTGTGGCACCAGTATCGGCCACTGCCGTGCAAGACGTCACGTGCTCGGTGGGGGTGGTGGGTTTGTCCCGGAGCCCTGGCACGTTAGGGACGTCCACGGAGACAGTGACGGGTAGACGGTTGCCGCGTGGCCGCATGATGCCGTCAATGTACCCGCGCTCGGGAGCGATGGCGTATCTGGTGGCCAGCTCGTATAGGCTGCCTCCTGAGATGGCCTCCTGTTTTCCAGATGGGGCACTTCGCGGCTTACCTTTGTTGAAGCAAACCTTGGGGAGGTGGCCGCGTCGACCGCACGTGCAGAGGTGATTGAAGGCGGGACACTCCAGACGCCTGTTCTGGTGTGCGTGCTCACCGCAGTGCTTGCACGATGCTACGAAGGATTTGACGTCGGTCTGGGGCGATCTTTGTTTCTTGTATGTGGATCTTATTCGACCGACTTCTCCACTTTCTTGAACTGTCGCCTGACTTCTCTTTGCCATCTCTCGGTCAGTAGCATATTTTTCAGCTCTTTGCAGAGTGAGGTCTGACTGGGCGAGGAGGTCTGTCTGAACATCCATGTCTTCAAGGCCTGAGAGGAGCTGGTAAAGCACCATGTGCTCCTCATAGCTGACTTGTTTGGTGCAGTCGCAAGTTATTTGAAACTGACACTGTCTAGCAGCGGCCCGAACGTTGGCTGAGAAAAGGGCAACCGACTGGCCTTTTTCCTGCCTCATTTTCTGTAGCTTGATCACGTGAGCCAACTTGTTCTCTGGCCGGACCAAGAGCGCTTCTAAATTGGAGACAAGCTGGTTTTCTGTTTGAGCGGTGAGGTTACTGCCATGTCGGGCAAACATCAGGTTGTAGGCCACTGGAGGTAGGGATTGTAGCACGATGTCTGGATCGTCCGATGTTATCCCTGCGAGTTGCTTGTACGATGCCAGCTGTTGCTTGAAAATACCCAGTGCCGCCTCAGTGACGGTGCCATCAGCGCTCACCTCCAGGTGGGGTAGTTTAGCGTGTGGTTTCCGATCCTGGGTAGGTGGGTTGGCGACCGTGTGAACGGCTCCCTGGTGCATTTGGAGCAGCTGGATGGCAACTTGTCCTTCTAGACAGGGCGTCTTGTATCGGCATTCGGCAATCAGGCCATGGACACTGAAGCTTGCTGTCGGGCATGTTTAAAGGTGCGATGGGAATTCAGACACAATTATCATGCCACTTTGAAAATGATACGTTACGTTAAGTTTCGGCCTTGGTTAGTTGAGCTCGTCTTGCCTCCCTGCATAGCTGAGCAGCATTTGTCAAACACTTTATTAGTTCATGTGTTTATTCAATGCAGGGAGGCAAGCAACTGATTCAATTTAGCACAAAACCCTCTCAGGTCCAAAACAAGCGGTTGCCATGGTTACGGTCACATCTCGGTGTGACCCTTTCGATGAGTGAACCTCAGCTAATTCCGAACGTCAGGACCACTGGAATTTCAGGTTTGTAATTACGATGTTTTCTTTCAAGTTTCTGGTCCTCATGAAACAGAAAGTTTGCGATTCCCATGTTTCCTAGCAAATTTTATCTTGTAAAAAAGTTTGCAAATATTAAACTCAAAATTCATGTTCAAAGGTTTCGTGAAATTCAAATCTCAAATGTTGGTAATTATTTCTTGTAAACACAAGCTTTTTCTTTGTAATTACAAGTTTTATTTGTTAGTGAAACAGGCCTCAGACCAAAACAGAACAAAACTTCATAACATTTTCTACCAACACGTGAAATTTCACGCGCAAATATGCAATCCTCTTCTCAAGAGAGATCAAGGTGCCACGTTTAGCGACGTGTCTGAGCCAAAGGGGAGCGCTGAAGAAAACACCTGGTTAAAGGGACCCTCCCACCTTCAAAAAAGTTAATGAGTTAATGAATTGGCATTAAAGTCATGTCGCTCGGTTCAGAAAGAGCAAAAACGAATATCTACCAAATTTCACCGAAAAATATTAACCAGTTTTCCAGATATTATACTTTTACTTTTGTATACTTTTTGGGATCTCCGCTGTTCCTAGCGACTTCATTTTGGAAGTGCGGCGTTTGCGGCAGATGTTGCGCGCAAATAGCATATATCGACCAGTGCTTCACAAAGATAAGAGGGCATCCCAATGCATTAGCCCCTTAGAATCCGAAAACTGCAAGTTTGAAATTCCATATCTCCGAATTAAAGCATTTTTCGATGTTGTGAGTGCCCAAACCGGTATTTGCAGGCCATGGCCACCAATTTGGCTATCTCAACTCAAAACTAATGTTAAGGTGGGATGGTCACTTTAAAGTGACCATCCCACCTTATCATTAGTTTTGAGGCTTAACATGTCATGAGGCTTAACATGACAGGCTGAACATGTTGACACAGCGTGATAAAAACGACACACCTGTGCAGTGTGTACTCCCGGTGTGCCCCGGCGTGTTGGACCGGCAGGGGCGCTTCTCCCATATAGGCAAGGTAGGCAGTGCCTACGTCTTTCGTCGTCTTCCTTTTGTCTCCACTCTCCCTACCTCATCTCATCTCGTCTCATCTCATTTATTTACAACAGAAAAAGACAAAATAAGTACAAAAGTGAAACAAATAGGATTGGTGCAAAAGCGCAACGCTTAACCCGCACCCGGGCCGGGGGTGTTTGAACACCCCCCCCCCCCGCGGGTTTTCGCAGCGCCGCCGTTTTTGGCTCACCTGTTTTCGCACCTTTTCCGCACATGTGAAAATTTCAGACCCAGGTCGCCTTAGGTCAGGTCACCAGGTCACGCCAAGTGACCTCACCTCAGAAAAATAAGAATGCTCGTCATAGCTACACCGATTGATAGATTGCCTTGAAACTTTCAGCGATTGATGAAAGCAACATTATCCATAAAAATTTATATCTCGGAATTTTGATATCGGTGACCTAAGGTCAGGTCAATTTTGCGGCCTCTCCATTACGGCGCGGGTTAAATCAAGGCACCTCTTCTCAAAATAAACGAGGTTACAAAACATGACATCACCGAGATCAACAAAGTGGGCCAACAAAGTGTGAACTAACTAAAAGTACAATAAAGGTGAGCGATCACTCCTCCGCTGAGTGGCATTCGTTTGCATTCGTGGCATTCGTTTGTTTGATTGCATAGTTTGGGTAGAGTCATTTTCTGCACTTCAGAAAACGCTGAAAGTAAAGTAAATTGTCCAAGCTTTCCAAAAAAATATCACACGAAGCCATTACATAGTCAGAAACTTGACGAAAAACCTTGCCTTGCTGTGTTTACCTTGTCCTGCTAGACTAGTGCCCATGCTGACTGATGAGGCTATTGAGCCTTTTGGTAGAAAATGGCTATAAGGTTGGCACATCGACTAGGTGCTACCTTCTAACTCCCAAAGTAAACTTCCTAATGTGCTCATTTTTCATATAATGAAACACATTTTACTACACCAATTTTTATCTTTAGTCTGAAATTGCTTACAGTGTGGTGATTGTTGTGCTATTCTATTGTCTCTTAAACATTATTTTAGACGAACTAGACTCCTACTGAGTGACCTTTGTCCCTCTGGTGGCAGACAAATAAGATATGGCAAAGACATTTTTTTATAGATGATGCTGCAAGCTGGTGCTGGAAAGCGGTTATGCTGTCCCGTGCTGTGAAAGCCGTGGCGTGAAGTTATTTTCATTACTGGCGTAGGTACATTGATCCCCGTAAGAATCTAATTCATGTCTTCGTAACCTTCTAATTAGTACCTATGCTAACTAGTACCTATGTGAGTTTTGTTTTGATTTTCCCATGTGACTGGAATCATGAAATGGATAACAATTCGTGACCACTTCTATTTGTATTTGTATTTGTATCTACATTTTAGAGCGATCCACATACAAAGTGCGTGGCGATTACTGCTCAGAATCCGTATCCGCGTTTGCTAATCTAATCATTCAAAACATTTGCACATTCACTCACGTCAAAACACGGACAAAACAATCTCAGGACAGCCTCATCGCTCTTACCCACCCATGCCCACCCCCACCCTATTGGTCAGCGACGATGTGCTGATTCATCGTCCACGATTGCGGCTTAAACAGCGCGGGCGAAGCGGGCGGGAGGCAGAGCTGCGACAGGTGAGACTGAGGTGGCAGGCTGTTCAGCAGAGCTGCAGCTCGATAGCCGAACCACCGCTTGCCCGTTTCCAGCCGCGGACGGGGAAGATGGAAGAGGTGATCTTGCCTGGATTGTCTCTCGCGGATAGCGCTTTTAGCGACGAACTGCTAGTTGTTCGGGTTCTCTAGAATTGGTCGTGATACTAAATCTGTCGCCTGTCTGTAGTTTTTTATTATGGTCTAGGGTTTGGCATTTCTTTTTTACCAAGTGCCTGCCTACTTTGAAAAGGTGTCAGCGCCGCGGCCCTGGTCTGACGGCGCGCCCCGGGCCGGCAGATCGCCAGCCCGGCCTGCACCGAGCTGGAGGTGGCCATGCTGGACTGGCTGGGCCGGGCGCTGGCGCTGCCGGAGCCGTTCCTGGCCAGCTCGGGGCTCGGCGGCGGCGGAGTGATCCAGGGCACCGCCAGCGAGGCCACCCTGGTGGCACTGCTGAGCGCTCGCAGCCGCCGGGTTCGCCAGCTTCGCCAGCAGCACCCGGACTGGACCGAGACGGCCGTCACCGGCCAACTGGTGGCCTACTGCTCCGGTCAGTGCAGCGCCGGCTCCCAGACCGGCCGCCGTCCGCCCGCGCCATACCCGGACAGCTGGTTACAAGTAGCGATTCACCGATGATGTCGGAGCCAGGCCAAAGGCTGCTAAAAGCCGAAAATCAAGCGCCGATGTCATGTCATACTGCCATGGATTACATGAATGCAGCAAAGTTGTTACCGCAGGCCTATGCAACACTTTCTAAGATGAGGTCATTTGACGTGACCTGGTGATCTGAACTTAACCCGGCAACCACTGGGCCTCCGCGCCACCCGTCAACCGTTGGGGGGCAACTAGGGCAACATCCCTTTACTTCTCTGACGATATCGTCGCGACGTAAAGAGATAGAAGTGAAACCGCGCACGTATTTCTGAATAGCTGGCCAAAGTTGTGTCCAAATTTGGTGTCGATTCAGTTTGAAATGACGTCACACTGACGTCAGAAGTCAGGTCAGATCAGGTATGGGATCTTGGCCTGACACCGTTGTGCGATTTCGGCCGCATTTTCTTCTTTTCCTTCTTCTTTCAGGGCCCTGCCGTTCTTTCAGGGCCCTGAAAGAACGGCAGATCTATCACCTGGATCTGCAGACGGCGTTATTACAGTTTCAATAGCCAATGCTGCATGCAAGAGCGTAGCCAGGGTATCCTCAAGGGGGTTCCCAACTTACAGGGACCGATGGTAACCTCCCTCAAAATCCAAAAAGCCATCGGATTTCATCCACTATTTTTTTGGAGGGACCCAAATAAATTGCAAAATATTTATTTAAAAAATAAAAGATGTTAGAACTGGGGGGCGGGGGGGGGGGGGCAAGCAGTCCATGGGCCCTGCTAGCTAGGCCCACGAATAGCTTCATAGAGTCGCTCAGCCGGTTCTGAAGGCGGACTGGGGGCCTCGTAGGTCGGATGAGGGTCCTTCAGACCGTCAAAGGCCCCCTACAGGCCATGAGAGCCTCGTAAGCGTAAGCCAGATTGAGAGATGGACCCTGAGCCTGACAGAGGCGATAGAGGACCTCCTCAGTTGGAGAAAAGGCCCCTCCAGTTGATATAGGCCCCTCGTACAAACAAAGGGCCCCTCAGGCCGATCGGGGCCCTTCAGACCGACAGAGGGCTCCCTCGGTCCAAAAAGGGCCCTTCACGCAAGTAGCGGTTCCTTTACACTGACAGAGGACCCTTCAGATGTTATTCAGAGAGACCCATCATGGGCTCGCCTCAGACGGCAACTCGATGCGTTCAGAGGGCCCGTCGGTAACTAAGAGGGTCTAGCGACCGCGGGCCCTTTCATGTGCTCAGAGTAGAGATGTCAATGGGATACCAACGTTTTGGTATACCGATACCAAACCGATACCAACTTGGTATTTGGTATTCTAATCGTAATGTGTTTGGTATTTTGTTGGTATCATAAGCCCTGACTAATGTATAAGAGGCTAAAAAATCGGTAAAAAGTTGGTATTTCCCTCATTTTCTCAGCTTGGTTTGGTTTCGGTATTTTCCCGTGGTTTTGGTTGGTATTTGGTTTGGTATCAAATTGATGAAATACTAGGACTTACTCCACAAGGAGATCGAATGGGTCGACCCATTCGATCTCCTTGTGGAGTAAGTCCTAGTATTTCATCAATTTAATTCCATCTCCACATCATGTCATTACGTGGTTTGGTATCGGTATTCCGATTTTACGTAATTGACATCACTAGCTCAGAGGGTTTTACTGTAGCTCAGAAGGCCCACGTCAATCAATCAGGAGCCCCTTCATGCGTTCAGAGGGCCCTCTCGTGTATTCAGAGGGCCTTTCTATAGTTCAGAGGGCCCCTGTCAAGCGATCAGAGGGCCCTTTATGCGCTCAGAGGGCCTTTTTTAGTTTAGAGGGCCCCCGTCAAGCTATCAGGGGCCCCTTCATTAGCTCTGAAGAGGGTCTCTCGATCTTCAACCAAACCATAAAAAATAAATATTAAATAGAAACTACAAAAGAGGCTCATCAAAAATATAGTGGGTGAAATCCGGCCTAAAAATTGGGTAGGGTGTACGTACGTAGGTAAAGCCCACATACATGTGGGATCTCCGATTTGAAACATGGTCCATCCCGGAACTTTTGAAACTTCTAAGGGCCCTGCCGTCAGTTTCAGGGATAAGGACCCATGAAAGGCCCAAAAGGGGTACCTAGGGACCATGGGGACCCCTTTCGCTACGCCACTGGCTGCATGAAACCATTTACATGTAAGACATTACAAGTTCTTATGGTCAGGTTACCAGGTCAGGTCAATTGACCTTGAACTCAGCAAAAGGTAAAACGGTCGCCATAGCTACACCGACTAAACAATCGCTTTGAAACTTATGCGTTAAATTACTAAGAATAAAAGTATGTACAAAGTGCATGCATTGGAACTTTAATCCGCGCACCGACGGCGGTCTGCGCCAACTTAGAACCGAAGGGGGGGGGGGCGGATGACCCTGAGATCTCGAGAACGAAGCAAGATAGCGACAAGCGGTAAACGACATGGGATACACACGGACAAGGTCTACAATTTTTACACAGGTCATTTTCAGGTCAGGTCAAAGATGACGTCACAGGGGTCAAAAAAGTGAAAATGGCGGCGCTAAATATGGAGTTTTTCTCGAATAACTTTCGAACTAGTCAAGATAGAAACAAACTAAGGGCATCATCGTGATCCTCTCGTCAATCCACATCGAATGATATATATGTTGACCTCGAAAGGTCAAGGTCAAATGTTGACCTCAGGTCACGTGACCTCGAGGTCATCATGTATATCATTCGATGTGCCTTGACGAGCTGAACGCAATGAGACCATCCGCGCGTCTGTATCTTGTTCCTGTGCGGAGTTATTGGCAAAAAACCGCTGGTGACCTTTGATGACGTCACATGACCTTACAGCTGCCCAACAGCAAAACAGACCTCAAGGTAGTGAAGGTTGATCGTTTATGAAGTCATGTATGGTTTATAGAGCCATTCTGACCCGTTTTAATTGTAAAAACAGGGAGTTGATTTTTCCCCCTCGACTTATAATGGGGAGGTCGAGAAATTGACCTGACCTTAGGTCATCGATATCAAAATTCAAAGATATAAAAAGTGTAGCTACTAATGACCTTATAACATCCTGCGACTTTCAAAGGCCTCCGACATCTACTGTAGCTCTGGCACGGTGACAAAGTTGCAAAAAAGTGACTTGAGGTTGGGTCATTCAAAGTGACCTGGTGACCTGACCTTAAAAGTTAGGAGGTTCAGACGTAAATACCATGTATAAAATTGATGAAAGAATAGTCGTACCAAATTTCGCGACGCGCGGTTTTCCCGCTATCTACGAGAAACCTCAGGGGGCGGATATCCACCCCCTCGTCGGTGCGCGGATTAACCCTCGCCCGTATTGGTGTTTTTCCAGCCGCGAACGTATAAGGGGGGGGGGGGGGGTCCGTTGGACCCCCTTGCCGTTTCGCCCCTGATCGAGCTAGAGCTTCACGGAAAAAACGAGCGTGCTGCCCGTGACGAGAGGAAGCCGAAGATACCCAATTTTAAGGTCCTAGGTCATTGGTTGACCTTCCAGGTCAGGTCAATGACCCAAAAGCCGGGAAAATCGGGACCTCTTAGAATGTCGTAAATTGTGGCTGCTATGCGGTTTTTCGGGGTGCTGATCACGGGTCCCGCCGTGTAGAGCGCCACCCTTCACGTGGTGAAACCAACCGATGTCTGCCCCGGCACACTCTGAGCATCGGTCATTCATACATCAGTGGAAAGCCAGCTGACAACACGTACGACCGGGCTTACCTTCTAGCGGTGCGTGAGAGGGTGAGGGGTGGTGCGAATAGCAAAATCGCCCAGACCATCCGAAGCAGTCTCCCAGCGCGCCTGACACATTTGGTCCGCCGCTCACATCAGCCAATCCGTGCCATTTGTGGATCTAACCGGCGCACACTGGTCGGAAACGCTCCAGCGAGAGGCCAGCGGCCTTTCCGCAAAAGTTTTTTGCTTGTTATTCCACAACTAGTGAAGCAAACTTCATAAAACTTTGCATACCTTCTCTGTCATATGTAAGCTATCATTTGGATGTCAAGCACTAAATATATGACGTGAATCTGTTAAGTTATGACGTCATAATTGAGTATAATACAGGATCTAGCACCACTTTAAGTCAACAAGGGAAATTGGGAGCTGCTATTCGGGCACCGGGAATGGTTTCATGCACTCCTTGCAAGGTCCAGTGCTTGACTTAAGCATTGTTGACTTTGCGTGACGTCATTTATGACGTCACTAAGGCCATGTAAGTTTTTCGTCAATAACTCCTGATCAGATGGAGCTAGAGAGTCGGAAAAAACCACCATTGGACTCAGGAAGACCTGCCGAATCGAATGATATGCGATATGACCTCCTTCAATCATTTTCGTGACCTGAGGGGCTCCGACCTGACCTTGACCCGAGGTTAACACCTTAACCCTCGCCGGCACAGGGGGGGTTGATGCAACCCCCCTAAGGTTTTTCGCGAATAACTCGCGTAAAAAGCGGCCGATCGCGACGAAACTTTCAGTACCCTCGCATTGATCATTTTTACACCTACCCTGAAAATTTCATGACCCTGACCCCAATGACCTTTGACCTGTGACCTCTTTTCCGTGACCATGTTTGGCCGAAATCGCGATTCGGCGTATGTCGGCTCGCACTAGCCGCGCGTTTGCAAGCTTTTCGTGGTTTCAAACTTTCAAACATGTGATTTGATGTTGCAACCATACATTAGGATGGGTGTCAAGGTCACCTGAAGGTCAGGTCAGGTCATTGACCTTTGGTGACCTCGGGTGACCTCGGTTCACTTTTTCGAGTTTTACATGTTTCTATGCTAGTTTTTGGAGCTGAATTCCAATTTAGCAACCATTTGAACATTTACGAAGTAGTTTTGGCGCCTTCGTAACATGTTACGAAGCTGTCAGAGGCGGTTGACACGTATTACGAATACCCGTCACAACCCCTACCGGTTGACCTGACCTGACCTGACCCGAC